CTTAGCAGACAAAGCAATGATGATCTTGACAGTGACTGTAATGACCCTCGTTAAGCCCAAGCAGCTTGATGAATAAGCTGGGCAGCTTGCTTGGTGGCCGAGCTGCTTCGGCCGTGGGTAGGCCACGGGCAGGCTTGCGCCCGAGTTATGCCTAAGCGGGGCGAGCACACGCTGGTGTGTGTCGGACACACGCCTGGTCAGAGACACGGTCTTGGACGCGTGTCGCGGCACGGACAAGGCTCGCTGGATCGGCCTTGGCAGGTGGCCGCGGGGCGTCTAGCTGCTTCGCCTGCTTACCCCCGCCTATAAATAGCCGGTCCCTTTACCCCCGAACCAACTAGCCGCAAAGTTTTAACTCANCCCACGATAGTTGTTACGATCAACCCGAATCGATCAGTCCAACCGAACTGAGTAGTCCATCGTCTAGTCCTCCGTGAACCATAGTGTTGTTGCGCCGCGAGCCTTGTCGAGCCGGTTTATGAAAACTTAGGGTAAGTTCCCGTGATCGAACCTTACCGTTTTCAAAGTGAATTTTCATGCGGATCATGAATTTAATCTTAGTTTCTTGATCCGATGACTCGACCTATCTTAAATTCGTAGGTTCAACTTCGGTTAAGCTCCAAAAGATCTAGTTAGTCCACGGTAAGCTCAGTTCCGAGTAGGTATGATCCGTGGGCTTTATCTTTAAATTTCCCTTAAGAAAATTCTAAGTCTTGCCTTGGTTTATTCGTGAACCTTTGGAACATATTCCAGTTCAAAGGCTAAGGCAAAATCTTTCGGAAAAGTCTAAGGCAAATGCCCGTAGAAACCTTTGGCAGAACCGCGATCGTTCGTTAAGTCAAAGGTGAGTCTCGGTGATGCTTGTTGTATGCTTAATTAAATTACGAGTGAGGTTCAATGCTACGTGATTATATTTTTGCTAAGTACTTAAAAGCTTTAGCATGTGAAAATTACTAAGTCGAATTGTTGATGCAAAGTTATAAGTTTTCTTATAACTTAATTGTTAGTAAAACCTATAAATTATGAATATCGCGGTAAGACGTTCCCTTGAAAGCCATGACTTAGCTGGTACGTTGAGTATTAGTCTAAGTACATGAAGACACGGAGAGACGGGATTGCAGCCTTTGNCCGTGTACTGCATGACGATGCAGAATTTCCGGTGCGGATCCTTATATAAATAAGGCCATTGGAACGGTGAAGGATCTTAAGTCCTTAGCCTTTGTGGCTTCGGGNTGATGGATACCTTGTGATTTGACGTGGAGGGATATAGTCTACGCGAAGGCCTTATANTGACATTGCATAACTTATTGCATTTCTTTTGTTAAATCTGCNTGCTTGCGTGTTGTTTGTTATTTTGGGTTTGGTTGGGAATTGATTACTGCATGTTAGGNANGCCTAGGCTCACTGAGCAACTAGTGCTCACGACTCTACTTGTGNTGCAGGTAACCATTAGCGGNTAGACCACCGAGGGCCAAAGGANNATTAGGAAATTCAGCAGTAGATTTTCTTGCCTTTTGTAAATGAGTAATGTTTATTATGTACATGATCGTTTTGGAGTATTAGACTCACACTTGTATATGCTTGTATCACATTTAAAATTTATGTATAAATTATATTTAAAAAAAATCGAGTTTGCATAAATTTGGGTTTCATGTGATACTAGTCCTTGTCCGGACGAACTAACCGTTACGTATGTCTCGGGTTGGCAAGCCTTGAGATGTACCTAATGGGGACGAACGCTTAGAAGTCTTGTCTAGGGAATTTGGATATGTTCTAGGAACCTCTGACCGGACACTTAAGTATTCGTCAGTAGCGTTTCCGGTCTATAAATGATCGGGGGCGTTACAATCATAAACAATAACCAAACGAGCAATTAAACCAGAGATTACCAAAATCACAATTCGATTCTAACTGAACCAATAAACCAATTCAATTCCAACATAAACCAATAACCAATATGAATCAAATTCCAACTTAACAATTCTAATTCCACAATTCAGACATCAGCAACCTAACAATGCT